TGTGTTAATTCTCCAGGGGTTGAGCAGGGAGGAGAAAATTGGTGGCAATGCTTGTTCAAGGAGAGCAGGTGAGAGGAGCTGCCCTGTGTCCCTGGGCACCTGGGAAGCAGGGGACACCCAAGAGCTCCCCATGAAAAAAATGACACCCCGCCCAAACCATTTGTCATTAACTCCCATTTAAGAGAAGAAGAAAGCTGTGCAAACCATTAGGAAGATAATTGGTTTCTCCTCTGTATTTCAATAAAAGCAAGGGACAAAATACCATGTATGTGAAATAAGTACTTTAGGATAACAGCACTCGTCACCTTGACAACTCGGTCAGAGGTCTCAGCGTGGCAGTGCCTGTTCAGTGAGGTGTGAGGAATAGAGGACGCCAGGGACAGGGGGAAGATACTTGTCTGACCAGCGGAGACGTGAGGACCACAACAGGCTGTTAGCTGCAGGATTTCTAAACAGCCAGCAGCTTTCACAGGGAAACGTTACAAAAATAAGCCCTGCGGAGCCGGGGGAGCGGCGGTGGGAGCTGCCCTGGCTGCGCTCGCGGTGCCAGCGCTGGCCTGGCTGGAACAGCGACCACGGGGCAGCCCAGAGCCCGGGCCAGCACGGGACTGAGGCAGTGCCAGCAGCTGAGATGGGGGGTCAGCTCGTCCTGGGGCAGTGGGCTCCCCTCTGCTCCCCCTGCAGTGACCGCAGGGTGCACGAAGGGACCGAGCGGCCGCGGCACCTGCGCTCGGCCGGGGCGGTGGGAGCAGGGTCTGGGGGGCACCTCGCAGGGACAGGGTTCCACCCAGCACTCCCAAACACACCAACACATAAAACAACATAATATTGCAAACAAAAGGTGACAAGGTAACATACTAATATGAACAGACACAAAATCAATAGGAATTTCTATTTAGGTAGGAAATCAATAGGAATTTCAAGGTAGGAAAAAAGGAAATTACTTACCTTTAATTTGAGCTCTCTTCAAGTCTGGCTCTCCACAGATGGACGGTGGGGGCTGGTGGGGCTGGGGCAGCAGGAGTCCCATGGGGGTGATGGCAAGGGCACCTCCCCAGCTGCACCGGGGCCACATGTCACCCCAGTGAGGCCCCTGCCCTGCCCCGCGCAGGTAGAGGTGGGTCTATGGAACCAACCCATCAGTCCTTGCCATCTCTGCGTGGAGCAGGACAGGGCTCTGCCAAGCCAGGCAGGCACGGAGAGGATGGGTTCTGCACAGACCCGTCAGGCACCAAGAAGGGAGCCCCCACAGCGAGTGGGGCCAAGTACCCGAGCAGGTGCTGCAGCAGCTCAGAGCTTCAGTCTCTAGCGTCCTCGTCCTCATCCTGCAGCAACAACACTCGCAGTGTTTGCAAAACAGGCCACTCTTGGGAAGAAAAAGTCAGTGCAAGGTGCCTGTGATGTGGCAGCTCAGCCTTTCCTCCACAGGACGATGATGCAAATGGGCTCACTGGTCCGTGCAGGGCCCTTCTGAGTCCAGCACGCCTTGGCCGAGGCTCCCGGCTCCAGCTGCACCATGATCTCAGGAAGATCAGGACTTCCCCTTGAGCCCCTTTGAAACAAAAGGTGTTAGGAAAGTGAGAGATTACTGTTTTGTTAAAAGCAGAGCGAGCTGCACCTCAAGTTCTACCCCTTCACTCACTTAAAAGACCTCTAGAAGTATTAGTATTCCACTGATGATCCCCAAATCACCTCCCGATGTGGCTGAAGGTGGAAACAATTTTAAGCCACTCTTTCCAGCTAGATTTGAATGTAGCAGCAAAGCCCAGTGTACCAGTACTTTGAATTTCATTCATTCCTGAGTGCTCAAATGGTCTGATGCATTTTAATTTACACAGAATTGGAGGGAAGCATGAGCTTTGGTGGAAAATGGGCAGGATGGGCCCTCACCAGGCAACCACAGAGCCTTAAATGCAGATGTCTGTGGCTATAGAGGCAGGAGGCAGCATGCTGGAGCTCCAACTCACTGCCTTTGGCTGTGGTAAGTTCTGTTGTGGGGTCCAAAGATGCTTTTCTCCTCCTCCCAGCTGGGATCAGGCTCCACGTGCCCGGGCAGGGCCCTCTTGGCAGCCCACCCTGCACAGTCAGAGCAGAACCAGGGCAAAGTCCAGCTGGCCCTGGCTGTTAATCCTGGGTTGTGTCTCCACTTCTCTGCCATCGTGGGCTCCTTGAAATGCACATTAACCCCAGGTACAACAGCACTGATTGGAATAATCAGCAAGGGGAGATATTTTCAACAGAATATGAACAAAAAAAGGGAAAATAACCACGTACAAAGGATTTTCTTGGCAGTTCTCTTGGCCCTTTTGCCAAAAGTCCATACGATGCTCTGTGCCACCATGGAGGTGTTGAAGACCTCCTGAGAGGATGGTATCTGGCAAAGGGAAAGAAGCAGTGGTCGAGTGCAGGTTTGCAGCACAGCCTGGCAGGGTCCCAGCTTGGACCTCTGTGAAGACCAGCAACAAATTGGCTCCACTTGCTGAGGACACTAAATTGAGGTGAGTGCCGAATGAGCTTGCAGCAGCACAACAAAAATCCAAAGGATTTTATCATCTTTGTAGCAGAAGGGACATATGGTAAATAAAATTTAATGTTGCCAAATGGGGAGAGATACAGAATGGCCTAAGAACCATAAAGCAAAGAGCAGCATGAATGGAGGCAAACTGGTGCAAGAGGGAGGATACTGAAGATAAGGAAAGAACTGAAATTGCTACAAAAGCATCGAATGCATCCATGCATATTTACCCTGGTTGCAAAACAGCCTCAGCCCTGGCAGAGCCACCTGGTCCAGTGCCACATGGAGATGGGCTCCTGCAGGCACTGATAGTTCCTGTCCCTTTGTGTCCCTCATTTGGTTCTTGGAGCTCTGTTCCCTCCTAACACCCCTCCCTGGGGACTGGAAGAGCTGATCTGACGTGTCATCTCCTCCACTAAGACAGGTCAGAGTTGAATGGCTCTCCCTGTGAGACAGTCCCTGTACAAAGGTCAGGACTTTCTCCAGATTTCATGGAAAGTCCAGACTTTCCATTCCTCTCTTCTGGCTCCTTAACATGACCCAGTCCTTAACTCCCTTGTGCTCCTGGGCCAGCAAGGCCACTTCTGAGCCTGAATTGTGCTGGGATTCAGAGGCAGGCACAAGGCTTATGGGCTTCTTTCACCTTTAATGAATAACACCTTTTTTTTCCCACCCTGAAAACTGCAGCCACCTTCACATTTCCCTGCAACACCATGCTTGTGCCTAATTAAGCTCTATTAATACTAATGAACAGACTCACCATAGCCCATTGCTTTAGTTCTTAATCTAATGCCATGTTGTGACACTTGTTCAATGATGATTTCAGACCATGAATCAAATCATTGTGGTTCAGCCCATATGCCCAGCTCCTTTCTCATGTGGGAGTGGAGAGGAATCTAGGCCAGCAAATAGCAAAACTGGTTAAGGAGCTGCTAATTAAATAGGAAGTCAGAGCTGAGGCCAGGTTGTCCCAGTGCAGGGCAGCAGCTGTGGGAAGGGGCAGAGGTTCTGTGTGTGGTGCTCCAGCCTGAGCAGACCCCGACTCCAAAGCTCATGTGCAGAAGAAAAAAATGTGCAGAAAAGGAGCAAAGAGGGATACTGTGACATCACTAATGAGGAAACCCTAACAGCACCTTCCTTCTTTTTTTCACTCCTCCACATCCCAGAGATGAACCGAACCCATTTATTCTGGAAGGACAGGCCACCCCTGCACTGAGTGGCAGCTCCTGGGCTGAACAGTTTGTTTAAGATTTGCAAATTCTGAAAAAAAACCAACTTCCCTTTAATGACGAAGGTTTCATGAAAACAAAAGCATTTCTTATTCCTGATGTGTTCCTATTACCTGTCACTTGGTTTTGCAGGGTGATACAGAATTCAGTTCTCTCTGTACCTGCATTCTCAAACTTTTTGCATTCCTCAAGTAATGGTTTACTGTTGCAGTGGCCCACAAAGCATTGTGTCTGTGCTGGACTGGGACCTTCATTCTGTGCTCTGTTCGATGCTGCTGAATTATTCAGGTGGGAGATTCCACTGAATACAAAGGTTCAAATAAGAAACATTAAAGTTAGAAACTCCTAGGTTTTTAGAAGTACTGGAAGTGAAAAAAATATTTCAGCCAGGTTGATTTACGTTTAAAATACCAAAATATACTGCTGCACTGATCGCTTTGAATTGTGCTGTCATGTTGGGTTGCAAAAAGAGATGAGATTTTTCAATATGTTAAAGTGTAAATGTTGTTAAAAACACAGTATTAGGAGATTAAGATTCTGACCCTTTACATTCCAATGATCGTAAAAATCAGACTTGCAGCCCATTACAGAACAGCTTGCCAAGGCATCACACTGAATCACTCCACCACCAGGATGCTATAACCCTGCTCGAGCTTATTCATAGGCATCTGCTGATGTGGCATCTACATCAAACTGTGAATGCAAATGCAAGTCAGAGGGCTTGGATGTGCTTTAATAAACCCTGCCAGATTCCTCCTCCTGATCTCAAAGCTCTGGGGGACAGAGTGGCTCGTGCAGCTGCGGGACGTGGCAGACGCAGTGGCCACACGGTGACATCGTGTCACAGCGCCGGCCTCGCCGCCCACCACAGCTCTTCCTCTGCTTCATTCATCCTAAATTAACCTCACTGTGTCCTGGCTGCAGGGAGCAGTCCAAATCTGGACAGCTCCATGGAGAAAGCCCCATCGATTACAGTTAATTAGGCCTCACTTTTTAGAAGACCATAAGACAAGTAGCTCCTCTGCTGCTCACGTGGAGCTGTGTCCCCCTGCGCTGTCAGCATGGGGACTGCTGGGTCCCTTGGGCCAGGAGATCATCATTTCCATCTACATATTTATATCATCAGGCTCCCAGATGGGAAGAGATGTTTACCCAAGACTATCCCTAGACCTGGGATCTGCCTGTCCACAGTGCCACTGCTGGGCTCACCTCCCACCGGGAAAGTCAGGGACAGGCAATGCCACTGGCTGCAGGCACAGCCTCTGATCCTTCCAGCAGAGGCAATTATTTAATGTAATGAGAAGAATCCAAGCACTGGAACTTTTCAGAGACATGTAATGTTTTATGACAGACCAAAACTGTGTAATGAAAAAGCTTGATTTTGTGTATGGGAAGATACTTAGAAATAAACGTGTACTGGTGCCTGGGAGGCTGAGGCAGAGGAGGACTGGAGCCATCTCCCAGCTCAACATTCCTCCCAGCCATCCTCCCCCAACAGGACATCCCTTCTCACCCATCCCACCATCCCCATCAGCAGGACGCAGCCCTGGCAGTGGCACTGCAGGGATGCAGGGATGGTAGGACAGCTCACCAGCCAGGCTGACCCCCCTGTGCCCTCCTCACAGACAGCCAGGGTTCAGCACAGAAACATGCAGATTCTGGCTTTTATTTGAGGCAGGTTGGAAAGAGCAGTGAAGGTTATTGAAAACATAACGAAAGCCCCTCCTTATTTCATTAAATACAAATGTGAGTGGGGTCATCAGTTTTTATAGGGGCTCGTAAAGCATCCCTCTTGTTCAAATAGGCTATCAAATCACCCAGGGCTCCTCTCTGTGAGGAGTGCAATAAACCCAGAGTTTCTTCTTTAAGAAACTCATCTCAACATCATAATAAAATAACCTTAAATAATACAGTATGGAACAGGTTTTCAATAACATAATTATAGGCTTGCATTTTTTTCCTGGCAGGTCATTTCTTGGTATCTATTTTGGATGCCATACTGCAGAGGAAGGGGGTAGGGATGGAAGCATGGGTGCATTTTGAAGCATGTCCTCAGGTCACAGCAGATCACCTTGCCTTTCCTTTGTGCAGTGCAGGCACCACGAGGCCTGGGGAAGCTGGGCAGAGCTGTAGCCTGTGGAGATGGGACAGCAGAAGTGAAGGTCAGCTCAGGTCATGCTTCCAAGCAGGTCCTGTGACAAGCTCTCCTCAGGGCAAGCTGGCCAGCACAGGATGGTCAAGGTTTTAGCTGTCTTCTGTCTGTGGAGGATGGAGGAAGAACATCCACTGAGGGGGCAAACATGGATGGGGCAGCAGAGGTTGGTATCATTCAAAGCCTTTACAGTCACCTGGCATAAAATCCCCCATATTTTCCCTTGCTTTCTTGATCATAGCATTCGTTCAGAAAGGATTTTAGGTGGAGAAGATGCCTGGAATAAGATCTTTGTAAAGTCAAAAGAGCTGTATTTATTACTCCAAGGTTCAGTCTAGCTTTTGAGCAGGGAGGAGGGACAGTCACAAGGAGCATTCAACCCCTTTCATGTTCCCCATTGCCTGTCCATGGCATGAACTGAGCAGGAGAGCATCCCCCCAGCTGATTTCCCCTGGAGCTCCCCACTTAGCCAAGCACTTGAAGCCAAGTGCCATGCTGCTTTTGTTGGGTGGATGTTGTTATCTACCCACAAACACTCCAGCCATGCAAGATTTCCTCAGAGATAAGGAGGGACCATCTTCTCTTGATGCCACCAGCCCTGTGGTGCTTCTGCTTCAGGATGGCCAAAGGCACACAGTGCATCTTGGAGCCACCAGCCTAATGGTCAGACTTGATAACCTTCAAGCTCTTTTCCAGCCAAAGTGATTCTGTGACTGTGATTCTCTGTTCATCCTCTCTTCTGGACGATGCAAAGCCTGGGAACTGCGCAGAGGGCACAGCATTCCCCTTCCTCCTGCTTGGGACAGTGCAGCTCGTGCAGGAACGTGCACATTTTGCAGGCAGATTGAAACCTTTAGCAGTGTATCTGTTTTCCTTTTTTTGTGCAATTGGTAGCTGACCCTCCTGTGCCATGGTGTGTCATTAGTCCCCAGGAAATGGATTGCTGGGCAGGACTGGGTGGGCTGGCCAAGGGCACTGCAAATGATGTTTATGTTCCAGACCTGTCATGTAAAGGGATTTTAACCCTCTGCTTGTTTACCTAAGCTCTATCTCCCCTTTATTTGCAACAGCAGTCTGATTTTTAACATGTGGGTGTCCACAGCATGTCACTGATTCTACCTGGGCGTTCTCACTTCAGTTTTAGAGAAGGTGTATTATTTTTGGCATGCTTACAGTTGAAGCTTTATTCACAAATAATAATTAGCAGGTGTTTGCAATATGCTTTAAGTCTGAGCTGCTTCAGGGCAACACACACAAAAACCTCAAACCAGGGTGCTGTAACTGCAGAACCATCCCCTGTGCACAAGACGTGCTGAAGCATTTACACACACCCCATCCCACACACTCGTATAAAAAATCAATCCATGTACATCATCTGCACATGTTTGCAGATAATACAAAGTTGTGTTTAAAAAAAAAAAGGAAGAAAGAAAAGCCTCAAGTGGCAGGGCAGTTAAGGAACTCCTAGGTGTTTTTAATAACATTGATCAGTCCAAATGAAAAAAGCCAGAGCAGTGGGAGACAGGAGCAGGCAGCAGATGCTGACATTCTATCACAGCAGACACATATTGACTAGCGGTCTGAACAAGTCACTCACTCATCAGCGGCCGGCCTGATTGAGTTGCCTGCAGCCAGTAAATGAGCCTTCCATCCACTGTGGGTCGAAATGAACTGCAATCTTTTCAGACCTCGTTGTTGGCCAAATGAGAGATTTAAAACCCCGGAGGACTCCAAATGAATTTACCAAGGAGCCACAGTGACTAACAAAGCTCCAATACATCAGCGCTGGGGCACTGGGTATTGCACTCACTGCTGGGTGATCAGCACTGGGTATTACGCCGGCCCTGGTGATCAGCACGCTGAGCAATGCAGAGGTAACCAGATTAACCAGCACGAGGTGTGTAAACCTTTCATGGGTTCTTTAAGGATTTAAAGATTTTTATGAGAAAACACTACAAGTTTCCCAGGGGAAATTTGCTGTTATTGATTTAATGTTTGCTTGCATGCTACCTGTCAATTTTCCGAGAGCTTCAGCAACAAAATTCGTATTTGATATTTGACAGATCTCTTCCTGGTTTGCATGAGCACAGCAACAGAGTGCTTTCTAAAGGAGCTCCTTTCGAATACGAAAGAGAGGGAAGGGTGCCTCCTGCATACATACTATAAACCAAGACCTGATCTCAGGCTAAAATGAATTCAGGACCGACTACAAGCTCCAAACACTACAGGGGATGGCTAAGCATAGATCAGACTGGCTGGATTTGTCAGTCAAATGAGAAAGTTCCAATCTTGTTTGGGGATTAGTTGATGGAACATCCCTCATCCACGCACATGTATGCGTATGTGAACACGCTGAATGTAGTTGTGATGGAAGAGGGATTTCATTGAGTCTTTCTCCTAACTTGGACTCAGATTAGGAAGTTCAGGTTTCTCAGGTCCATTTGACGATGCTGGAAGTGTGTTTGGTGTACTGAGACCAGGGATATGAAGGGAGCACACAACACCATTGGGCTCAACCAAAGCCATCAGAGAACCTCCAAAGAGTCAAATGTTGAGCTTAAGTGAATCCAGCACAAGATCATGGAGAATAGGAACGAAGAAAGGAGCCCTCCCTCCATGTTCCCTGCAGGTACAAGGAGAGGTTTCTCGGGGTTTCTCCAGTTTGAAGAATCCAGTGTTTCTGGGAGGAAGGCAGAGCCCTCCTCTTCCAGCACCTGCCCTCTGTGCTGCTCCCCCAGGCAGTGACTATTCCATTGCTAACATTTCCATGATAACAAATTGTTCCCTAGCTGGAGAGACAAATGCAATGCTCCTTCCCTCTCACAGCTAATTCCTCCCCCTGTTCAGATGCTGACTTGCTGCCTTCCTCACTCGAGCAGAGCTCTGCGTGCAGCGATTCAGGCCAGGCTGCACTCCCTGCTCTCCCCAGGTACTCTCTCCCAATCAGTGCACCCCCAGCACCACATGGTTCTATTTGTGGGTCACTTTATTCCAGCTGAACGTAGTAAAATGGTTTGTCATCTCCATTTTTTTGCTGTAGTGTCCTGGAGGAATATGGTCCAGAATGCCTTCAGCAAGAGCCTCTAATCTGGAAGAGTCATTTCTCCCTCTGCCTCTCACAGTACAGGAGCAATGCAGTGGCTGCTGGCTGGAAAATTAGCCCAGGGAACTCTCTCCTCTGTCTGTCTCTCACCTCATTAGACTAGTGAGAAAATGTAATTGTAAGTCTCCCAGGCTTTCTCCTCGCCGGCTGGTGGGGGATAGTGCTTCACGAGGGCTGGGGGAGGCAGAGCTGCACCCCAGCTGTTAGCACTGCACCTCAGCCGAGCTGCCCACGTAGTGCCAGCCGTGAGCAGAGTACAGGGGGACCCCCTCTGCCCCACCAGGGCTGCCCCTCCTGCCCAGGTCTGCTGTCCCTGTGCCACCTCCTGTCCTTCAGCAGAGATCTGCCGAGGCAGGGGCAGATGGTGTTGGGCACCACGGGGCTGGGCTGAGCCCACCAGCAGGCAGAGACCAACACTTGCCCACATGAAAAGCCCTGGGAGTCTTCACCTCTGAGCAGGGACAGCGTGGGGATGGCCACACTCTGCAGCCCTGGGGCCAACCCTTTCCCCCCCCGTGGGGCACAGCATGCCTGGGTGTGGGCTCTGCAGGAAGAACACGGAACATGATCCACTGCCCGTGTTAGTCTGACTGGGCAGAGGCTGCTGGTGCCACTGTGCTTCTCCAGGCACAGCCAGCGTGGGGCTCACAGGAAAACCAGCTCTTTAATCCTTCAGTCCCAGTCTACAGCACAGTCCCAGCCCCTCCTCTGGTTGTTACAACTCTATGTTCTTTTGCTTGGCTATCCCACTCCAGATTAATTTCCCTGCCTGCTTTACCAGCCCTGGGTTTTCTCATTGCAAGCACCAAACTTTTGCTGGGAGATAAAGCCACAGGTCTGAATGAAATGGAAAGTCTTGGCCAGTGAGTTCCAAAATAAAAAGGGATGTTATTCACAGCAGCTCCTGATGCATGTATTGGTGTCTATTTGGTGAGGTTAACCAAGATTCATACACAGAGGCTGGTTTTGGTGTGGGATGGGACGTGCTGAGGCTGAGTCCAACCAGCTCAGCAATAACATGTCTGCTGAGTGTTTTAAGGCAGGAAGCAACGCCTCAGCTGAAATCACTTAAACAAAAAGATTGCAGTGAGGGGCATAATGCAAGAAAGTAATAAGGTTTAAAACAGGTCAGAGCCCTTTCCCTGCTCCACTGCTCCTGAGTGAGATGCATTATTTAATGGTCTTTGGTCACCGCTGATATACTGTTGATGAAATAGATGATTTTGTTCAAAAGAGCATTAGAGAAGAAATATACAATACTGCATTACACTCCAGCACAGTTCCCTCTCTGCTAAAAGCCGATAGATTGAAGGTTTTTCCTCTTGACAGGAAAGCAAAGCAGTTGAAATGAAAAGTCTTATGAAATGGCAAATACAAATGGTAATAATGCCACCATATTCAAAATTAAATTGTTGTAATTTTAGTTTCTGAGCATGGCAAAGTAATACAATATTCAGCACAGGCTTGGAGAGCAAAATCCTTTGGCGATAATGATGGTGCCTCATGAGCTAACCAAACCATCTTTTATAAAAATGTGGAGTCTGATGGGTCTCTCCATCAGCCACAGGAGCTGTTGTGTTGTGGTACCCCAGACGTGGAGCGTGTGGGCTGCAGTGCTGTGCTCAGCCTAAGGAGGTCTCTCCTGAAAGGAAAAGATGTTTTAACTGTCCAGATGTGTTGGATTAGAGATCTGATTGAACAGGGTCTGCAGCTGGATCTCAGTGGTATCAATACAAAAGACCTGTCTTGCCCTCTGTGCTCAGCCTGGTCACTTCCAGGCATGGCTGCCACAGTCTGGTGTGGTGCTGATGGCAAGGTGGCACTGCTGGCACCCCTGGGGCAAAGGGCACTGCTGACGAGGCCCACAGGCGATCAGGGCTGAGCCCACGCACATCCTCCCAGTTGTCTGCTCATGGGTTTGCTGCACGAGGAGCCTCCCTGTTCCTGGAGCCAGTGGGTGAGCGTCTGCCTCTCCCACTCCTCCTGCCTCTCCAAGCCCTGCAAATAGCTTTTGGTATTGAATCTGCAGATTGCAACTGCTCCATGTTTGAATAGCCTGCTGACCTTTCCCAGTAATGCCTCTTTTATAACCTTCATCTTCTGCGGGGGTTCACGCCATCCCTGTACTTACAGACCAGGAATCCAATGTGTAATGATAACATGGAGCCAGGCACTCCAGCCGTGCAATTACTCTCCCTGCATCCCTGTTTATGCTGGGGCTTTCATCGCCGTTAAATGCTGCTATTTTCTTTAGCCAGGCCCTGGGAGAGACTCGAGTTTGCCCTCGACAGGTTCAAGTCTCTTCTGCCAACAGAAAGATGTTTCGATGCATATAAATGGAGTGTGTGTCTGAGCACGGTGTGGGGGTGGGACTGGCCCCTCGCTGTCGGAGCTGTGGGGGGACACGATGGGGATGGGGGGCACAGCTGCCCCTCCTTTGGCACGGGCAGGTTTGTGGCCCTGCCACACCTGCCAGTGATGGAGCTGGAGTCTGCAGGGCACAGGGACCTGACCCCTGGGGAGCAGCAGGCATTGCAGGGCAGCGTCTGGAAACCTGCCAGGGAAATTCTGGAGTGACCCCATGGGCAGAGGGGGCACCCTGAAACAGGACTGACCCTGGCTCGTCCTCCCTGTCGCTGTGTCCACAGATGAAGCCTCAGTAAAATCAGTGGGAATGTGACCAGCTCACACAGCGCTGGGCCTGCCCGGTGCCAGCAGGGTTGGGGGCTGGCGTGGATGCCCCCTGGGTGGGTGCTCCCCACGCTGGGCTCCCGGCTCCACGGGCAGCCGTGCCAGCCATCCATTAACCAGTAATGGGGGGAATGCAGCAAAAACGGCAGTGAGGGAAAGGAATACATCACTGGTAATTATCTCTAACCAGAAATCTCCTCCACTGCTCCAAGCCCCATCATTCCAGCCCTATTCTAATAAAGTGACACCTTTTTAATTATGGTAAGGACAAATCTGAAATTCCAGTAAGTAATTAGCAGGCATAATTTGCCATCTCTGACACAATGTGACTTTATCACACGCTACCTCAGTGCAAGGCAGGAGTGCAAGGCTGCTGTATATTCTGTTTTAATTTTAGAGAAACCCAAACTGTCCATTTATTTTTATTACAATGTATTTCTCGAGTAGTTGAGTGGACAGCACTGAGAGTGCTCCGAGAGTGCAAATAAACAGCAGCAGCCTTGGAATGTTAAATTTAAGGGTTGTTTTCAAGAACAGGACACTTAATTTAACAATAAACTATGTTTTTATGTACCTCCATGATACCCACTGTTATCGAGAGCACAAGCTGGCCGGGCCCATTCCGAGGTGCACGGGACCCACTGAGCCATTCAGCCTGGTTTATTTTCAGTGAAAAGGAAATGCCCATCAAACTGGAAAACACTTTCACATTGCAATCCAATTATTTATTTGGCCTTCCAAAGGCTGCTTCCAGTTTTATTGTCTTCCTCTGTTTTCCCCTGCTGTTTGCATGTGTGCTCCAAGGGTGGTGCTTGGTTCTGCTAATGGGCAGAATATTAAATCCTGCAAACCATAGCTAAGAGAGATTTTTCTCAAAGAATCACAACCTTTTGCGGAGTTGATGCACAGTGTGGCAAGGTTCCTGGTTTCCCTGTGACTCCTGGGGCTAATATTCTTACAGTTAATATATTTTTGAGAAATGTATACTCTGGGCTAAATCATGAATATTTTAAGTTTGAGCTCTGCTGTCCAGTTGGGATTAGTCAGATAAACTGTGTGGGTTTGTTTCTCCTTGTTGAGAGGGCAAGTACTCTCTGAACCTGAGTGTTTCTTTGTGAATAAAGGATTTAAGATCTGATGTACCAGGACATGCAAAACAGACTCAGTTGTTGGGGTGCCGTTCCGTGAATGGCCCAGCACAAATCCCCACCTTCCTTTGAGAGCTGCAGCAACTGGACATTACCAACTATTCAGGAAGACAGAAGCAAAACCAGTACCTCTGTCCCAGCAAATGGGAATGCCAGAAGGAAATTCAGGAGCATAGCTGGGACCGACAGAGTGTGAGGTGGGCAAACCTGGCCAGGCTTCACGTGTGACTGAGCCTTGGGATCGAGATGTTCTCGGGCACCTCATACAGAGTCAAAGTCAAATAACTATAGAGCAGTGCAGTGAGTGTGGCAGGAAAGGAGCTCTGAGGTCAGGTGCTGGTGAGCAGAAGGGTTCTGTGGTCAGGGGAGATGTGCCATGTCACCCACTGCACACACGCACAGCCCTGGCCAATAATGCTCTGCTGCTCTGCTACTGTGAGTATCCATCAAGATCCAGCAAAAAGAGCCACCTTGGTCTGGCAACATCTGTTTGCATTAGTTGTAAATCCAGCACAAAACATCCCTCATAAATAATTAAGTCATCAGGGTACACTCACGTCAGGAGTGACTTGTCCTGCAATGTGGCCCTGGAGGACAGGCTGCTCTGAGGGCAAGGAGCCCCTGGCCAGGGAGATACCCCAGCAGCAGGGGCATTGTTGGGGGATTCCAGGGGGATCCCAGGGGAGGCAGAGTGCAGCTGTGCCCTGGGACTGCTGTGGGCTGTGCCCACACCGGGCTCTCCCCCAGCATCACAAGGACTTCAAAAGGTTTAAATAACCTTTCAAGACCAATGGAATGTTTCTCATGGATAGTCCTTCATTCAGCTAATGAGGACTTTAGCAGTATCCCCAAAACCCCCAAAATGCCAGGCTGGTAACCTCTCAGGAGGTGGGAATGTCAAGAGCTTTGCAGGGCAGAGGAGCCTGCGCCAGTCCTACCCTGAGGGACGGTCGGGGCTGGGTTTCACCGCGGTGCTGGTGTCGGTGTGTGTTGGGTCCCTGTGCCCAGGTGCCAGGGCGACAACACAGTCTGAACTTTTGTTTTGCACTGTGCAGCCCCCCGGTCCCCTTGCAGTCCCCCTGTGCACATGGGGCTCCAGATTTGTCTTTGTGAGAGGGAGATGCATTAATAAGGCGGGGAAGCAGGGGCGGTGGCAGCCCTCGCTCTGCTTGAGGAGGAGTGATTGCTGTGCCGAGGGCTGGGAGGCAGGAGGATATAACCCTAATGTCTGCACCTCAGGACACGCCATTAAAAAGGCATCTGCAGTGACACAGATCTGTTGTTTATCAATA